ATTCCTCCAGCTGCTATGTGAGGTTTATAATTCCAGTACACCCTGTTCTTTCAACTTCTAACTTTTCGCAGGCTTCTGATCTTGCAGAAGGGCTGCGTGCGTGCTCAGTCATATTGGACTTCACTCTTTGTGACCCCATGGACTGTAGCCCGCCAGGCTCCTCTGTTCATGGGATTCTCTGGGCAAGAATGCTGGAGTGGGTTGCCATTTCCTCCTCTAGGGTATGTTCCCAACCCAGGGATGGAACGGCGGCTCCTGCGTCTTCTGCATCGGCAGGCTGATTCTTTATCACTGAGCCACCTGGGAAGCCCAGGAAGGCTGTGTAGCCCTGGCTCAAGTCAGCCTCAGCAGCCCACCTTTGGCTGAGCCCCTCATACCCCGACTCTGTCCAGTCCTGCCTCTCACTCCAGGTTCCAGCCTCTTTCTCATCTCCCTCATCTCTGTCTCTATGCGTCTCTCTTCATCCTCAAAGGATACCCTGCGCTATCTTATTCAATCTCAACAACCCTCTAATCATTCCCATTTTATAGATGAGGAAAGTGAGAAACTTAGATGTTCATGCTGACCTGGGATTTGAACCACACGTGCCAAGTCCACAGCCACTGACACCAAGTGCTCTGCTTCTTGGCGCTGAGCACTACTTATTTTTCTTTTTAAAAAATAATATCTTAAAAAAATAAAATAAAAATAATATCTATTTTCTGATTTTGGAGTGAAGACATACACATAAAAATTCAAGCAGTATAAATTTTATTGTTTTTTTTCAAGTAAAATTAAGTCCTTCCTCTTCTCAGATCTAAAAATTATCAACATCAATTATTTGGTATATTTCCTTCCAGACTTACATAAACATTTATGAATAAATGATTTTTTTAAAGATGTGCTTTCTTTGTAGTTTTCTGCACACTGCTTTATTCACTTATTAATGTATTGGGAACGGCTTCTTGTGTTTGGAACATCTGTATTTCCTGCAATCTGTTTAGCAGCATTGGTTTTCCATTGTTACCATAAATCATTCAGTCAGTGCCATACCAGTGAACTTTGGGGTTGTTTCCCATTTTTCATTATTTCAGACAATGCTGCAATTAGCACCTTTGTGCATTTAGCTTTGCACACTTGTGTAAGTATTTCCGTTGGATAAATTCCTGGAAATGGAATTTCTGAGTCAAAACCATGCACATTTAAAATTTTCACAAATATTTTTAAACTGACCTCCAGAGTCTATATTGGTTTACATTTACACAATGAGTGCCTGTTTTCTGCATACTTGCCAGACTGATGTTGTGAATCTTTTTCAGTTTTGCCTGACAGGTGAACAGTATTTTATTATTGTTTTATCTTGCATTACTTATTGTTAAAGTTGAACACGTTTGTTGGTAATTTCTCTTTTCTTGGGTGAATTCTCTATTCACATCCTTTTTACACCTTTGTTGGGGTCATTTTTTCTTTCTCTTATCAGTTCACAAATGTTTCTTATATATCATATCAATCTTTTTCATATGTGTTAGAAATAGTTTCCTAGCTATGTTTGTAGTTTGACTTTGCCATATAGAAGTTTTAGCTATAAATGAAATCAAACTTACAAGCCTTTTGGTTTATTTGTTACTTTTTAAAAAATTTTTATTGGAGTATAGTTAATTTACATGTTACTTGGTCTTCATATCATTTTAGAAGGGCCTCCTCCCTCCCAAGGTTGTAAGAATGTTCACCCTCTTTTCCCTTTTAATAATTTGTTTTTACATTTAAATCTTTTGATGTCATGAATGGAATAGAAATCCAGCTTCCCACACTCTCCCTGGACTAGTTAGTTGTTTAAAGAAACAATTCTCAAACAATCTTTTCCCCACCATTCAAGTGCCATCTTTACCAGATACATGTTAAATTCCGGTGTGCATTTCCTGCTCTTTCTGGACTCTTCTGATAGATCATGCCAGTCCTGTACCAGTCCCAGCTCACATGCTCTCAGTATATGTTAGGCCAGGTCCCCCATTACTCATCTATTTCAGAAAGTTCACTGAACATTTTCATTTTTCTCATTATCATTCTGGATGAACTTTTGAACTGTTTTGTCAGATTTCCCAAATTATCCTTTGGGGATTTAGAGACTGCATTGAATTTACTGACTTAGGGAAAACTTACATCTTTTACATTATGGTTTGGTAATAACTAGTAATAAGAACTAGTTATTACTCTGTTTGGTCAAGTCTTCCTTGGTTGAGTAACTCAAAAGCCTTTAGTTTTATTGATTAATCGAATAGAGGTCCTGTACTCTGGTTAAAATTTCTCCTAATATTTTATGATTCTATTTGCTGTTATAAATGAGATAATTCCTTCCAATAATTTCCTAACTATTAAAAAGCTATGGGAAATCCTTCCATTTTCGATAACATGGATGGATCTCGAAGGCCTGATGCTAAGTTAAATAAAAAGACAGAGAAAGGCAAATACTGTATGCTCTCACTTATATGTAGAATCTGAAAAAAGAAAACGAAACTCACAGATACAGAGAATAAGTTGAGGGTTGCCAGAGGTGGGAGGGGGCGATGGGGAAAAATGGGTGGAGGTAGTCAAAAGGTACAAACTTCCAGTTATAAGATAACTGAGTCCTGGGGAGGGCATGCACAGCATGGTGACTATAGCTAACAATACTGTGTTCTATGTTTGAAAGTTGTTAAGAGAGTAGATCTTAAGAGTTCTCATCACAAGGAAAAAAATTCTAACTGTGGTGATGGATGTCAACTAAACTTATCGGTGATGACCATTTCACAAAATACACATATATCAAATCATTATGTTGTACACCTACATTGTTATATGTCCATTATACAATTTTTTTAAATGTAAATAATTTAAAAGCTATTCCTTGTTCTTAACTCTTATCTCTTATCCACACTGTCTCTTATAGAGCTCAGTCTTGGCCCTGAGTACCATCTTTATGTTGATGACTCCTAATATCCACATGTTTGTCAGCCCTCTCAAACCATCATCATTTTATCCCTAACTTGGTGTTTCCTAAATTTCAAATATTCTCACACCACTGTTATAATTTTTCATAATCTGAGTATCACCTGTACTATTATTTCTTTGCTTACTATTTTTCTTTAAACCAACTCATTAAAAATATATTTAGCCTCATCTTGTGCATGCAGTAATCGACATGAAATAACAAATAGTCTGATGTGCTGATTGTCATTTCTCTCAATGTGTGTGAAAAGAAATACAAAACTATTAAAGTTTTTCAAAATGTTCTTCATGTCACTTAAAAGACATCTCTGGTATCATCCATTATATTTTTGAATCTCTGGTCTATCTGGTAACAAACCTGAATATTTGCCATTGTTTCAGAATCAACATTCTTCCCTCAAAGTCCCTCTCAACCCCACTTTCCATGGGTTGTCAAGATGACCATTTCCTCAGTCATCTGAGTGCCAACCTAGGGCTTCATAGATTCCCCCTTCATCTCCTTCATCTCCAACCAGAGGATGTTTTCTTTCAACTGCATCTTGCCATCTGTCCTGTGCCCTCCATTCTCCCAGACTCTTTGTAATCCTCCTCCATGGATTCCTTCTTGAGGACCAGCCTCTTGGGCTTTGAGGCCCCTCTTTCTGCACCAGCTTCATCAAGGTTGACTCACTGCCACCTGCATATTTAAATACAATTGCTGCCCCCACCGCAATCCCACAATCATGTTGTGAGCTTGGGACTTTCTCCCTGCTCATCCAAGCCTTACCTGTACTTTTAGGTGCATTGTGCAGGAAGCCTTGTCAGAAGAGTCCAGCCCTCTCCCTCTCTTAGTCCTGAAGCATTGTCTAGTGTCAGCTCAGGAATCTCATGCCCTTGAATAGACTACAAGCTGCTGGGGGGGCAGGCTTCTGTCAGAATGTTCCTGCTGCCTTGGCGCAGGGCCAGCACACATCAGATGCTCAGTTAATGTCTGTGGAGTCAGTGCATGGTGGCATTCCCAAAGACTTACCTCCAGCTGCACCTCTCCCGCTCACTTACCATAGTAACCCTCCCTGCTCCCACCAACCAGGGGCCAGAAGGAAAACAAAACAGGTGTTTAAAAAAAAAGGCGAAGCGCACTGAAATATAAGAAGCCACTTCTAGGATCGTTAGTCTTTTAATATATTATTTCTGAAAAGAAAGGAATTAAAAAAAAGTTCCTGACATCTCTTCTGGGTTTTTTTTTTAATTTAAATAAATACCCTGCCCACCCCCCACCCCGAAAATGCCCCTCCTTCCCCATCACCCGCCCATCCCTGGTGCTAGACCCTCACCCTGGAGCTAAATAAGATGCCCGGTTCAGAGCAGGCCAAGCTCACTACCCAATACTGGTGACTGGTAAATACTGTGAATGAGCCCTCTGGCCCTCCCGACTCCAACTCTCCACTCTCAGAGCCCCTCCCTTCTGCGGCTCCACTGCTCTCCAGACCAGTCTGTCCCTGGCTTTGCGGGGAGTGACGGGGCGGGGAGGGCACAGCTGGATGGCAGGGCCTCTGGGTACTGGGGAGAGTGCCAACTTGGTTCCCTTTACTTGCCCGCGATTCCCCACTCCTTGATCAGGAGTGGATCAGACGGGCCCAGAATTGCCTTCCAAACCGAAATAAACATCAAAATAATTACCACCTCCCCCACTCTCTAAAAGAGCCCCTTCTACCTCTCACTCTCTGTCCCTCGCTGACCCGCCCCCCTTTCCTCCTCCCCCATGCTGACCTGGGGTGGGGAGGTCTACTTTGCTCAGAGGGGAGAGCAGCAGGAGGACCTCACTCCCAACTTCAAGCAACCCCTCCCTCACCTTTCTGGGGTTTGCGGCTTGGGACTCCAAGCCCGACGGGCCCGACCGATTCCCCGTCCGGGGGCAAGGGTTAGGGTGGAGGGCAGCGGGGGCTTCTCCCTGGCGGCGCTCTTTCACCTGGTCCTTCAAGCGTCCCTCTTTCGAGGCCAGTCTCTGGGAGAGCCGGGTGCCCCGCCCGCCCCTGGGCCCCGGCCCCCCGCCCCCCTCAGATGGCCGTGTCCCAGAGGACCGTGTGCTGCCGGCGGCAGGGCGGCGTGCCGGACTTGCGGGGCTCGGGCCCGCGCCGCCAGCTGGGGAGGATGGGCATGCTCTCCTGCTTGCAGAGGCCGCGGTCGGGCCGGTGGCGCGCCTTGATCTCCTTGCACACGCAGCGCTTGCGCTCGATCACCTCCAGCAGCTTGCCGTCGCGCTCGCGGGCGGGCTGGGGCGGCAGGGGCAGCGGCAGCGGCAGCGGCAGCGCAGGCTGGGTCTGCACCCCCTCCTCCCGCAACCGGCCCCCCGACGGGGTGGGGTGGGGGAGGAAGGAATGAGGGGGGTCAAGGACCTCAGAGTCACCAGGCCCCGTCCCCACCGCCGAAACCCCACCAAGATCAACGCGTCGCCCAGAAACGAGTCTTCTCTTGACCCCAAGGCCTCACGTCCTCTCCCCCTGCGCCCTGGTGCCAGGCAAGGCCTGTCTCCCCTAGGGAGAGCTTGCCTCATAAAAACCGTCTTCCCAGTAGGACGAATCTTTCCACTGCGGGAAGTCTCTTTCTAAAGCCACCAAGGCCCTCATCAGCCAGTGGTGCCAGCCTGGCTACCCAGGTTCTCCCCCACCCCTCGCTCTCCATCCATCCGGCGGGGTCCGCGGTGAGTCCGTGCCAAGGCCCCACCCTGACCTTTCGCCTTTCCTCCCACACCCGGGCCTTCTTCCCTACTTGCTCCTTCCCAAATAAAAAGCCCAAGCCTGTCTCCCTCCTCACCTGGCTCAGGGCATCCCTGGGCTGGCTGCAGGGCCGGGGGGTGTGGAGCGCGGCCTGCCGGACTCCGGAGGTGGAGGCCGAACGCCCCAGGCGGTAACCTCCAGTGAAGTCTGAGGCAGAAGATTGAGGAGTGAGAAAGGAAGGGGGTGCCAGGTTCCCCTCCCCCAATGCCCCGAGGACAGGAGAGGCCCCGTCAGACTGAGCCTAGCCTCAACGGAGGGGGGGATGGAGACCTGCTATTAGGAGGTAGGGCCTGGGCCCTGGGAGATTCCCCCAGCCCACCCCATCTGTGTGCGGGGGCAGACGGTGTCACCTCCGTTGCGGTGGCAGGCGGGGAAGGTCTGGCAGGGTATGGGCAGCGCTGTGCGGCCTCCTCCTCGGTCCCCTCCGTGGTGGATCCTGGCCAGCAGGCCCTCTGCCCCCTGGCTCCTCACGGGGATCCCTGATGCCATAGGGCCTCTGTCCTCACGCTCCACCTTGCCTAGACCCTCAGCACTGCCATTCCAGGCCCGGGCACTGTCCTCGATCTCTGCTGGGTGACAAGGAGAGCTCAGAAGCTGTACAATGTGAAGGGTCTTGCTGACCCCCTAGCTACACGCACCATGACCTGGCTGGACCAGGACAAAGATTTGCCCTGTTGCAGGTCACAGCTGGGAAGGGAGGGCCCCGACATCACGCTTCACACACACACACCGGAGGGACGCCAGTCCTGGCACCACCCCTTGGCTGAGAATTGTAGATATTTACTGCTGCCAAACCCTTTTCCCTGTTCAGAGGGGTCTCCCCTACCCTAGCTTTAACTTCAGAACCCCTCCAGCCCCCTACGGGGCCAGAATGATCTCAAGCGGAGAGCAGTGGGGGCTCTTCCCTAGGCGAGGGGAGAATCCCAAATTCTGAGCTGGGGGAACATGAAGGGGGGCCTTGGGGGAAGGGCTGCATGTGAACTAAGCTCATCTCTGAGTAAGCCTGGCAGAGCATTGCGTTGCCAGGCAACCGTAGGGGCCTCCCTCTCCTCTCCCTCCTGTCTGGATGGGTTGCCATGGTAACAGCTGGGAGGCAGCTGTGTTTAGCTCCTCATGTGCGCACACTCACAAACACACACACCCCTGCAGCCCAGTGGAGGGAGGGGCGGGGAACACAGCGGGACAGGACAGGAGGAGACCAGATCTTGCCCCCTCCCTACTCCAGGTCTTCCTGCCCTACCAGTGCACACAACGCGGGGACCTCACCCCTTCAGTCTGCTGCATGCCCCCATCCCTCTGCTCTCCCAGAAAAGTTCCCAGTTCAGGACAATGGGCTGTGGCTTCCAAGTAACCCCTTCAACACCTCCCCCAGATGATCACAGACATCCCTGGGCCCCTCCCCGTTCCCCCTCCTCACTCACTGTCCAGCTCTTTTGCCTTCCTCCCTCCATACAGGACCTTCCGCTGCAGAGCCCAGCCTGCCCCAAACGTCGAGGCACCCATCTCCTCTTCTTCCTCATCTGGCGTCCCTGCACTGGCGATGACGTGGGCACAGGAGATGCTGGCGAAGGCCCCCCCGTCGGTCCCTTGCTCTTGCAGCTGGATCTTGACCATGGGGGATGGAGCTCCCATCCCACAGCCCTTATTCAGCACCCCCCCAGCCTTGAGGCTCTCATAGGCAGGGGGTCTCTTGAGCCCAGCTGCTGCAGCTGGGTAGGTCCAGAGAGGGGTCAGGGGGCCTGTGGTTGGATCCGGAAGGCTGTGTGGGGAGGCCAGGCAGGCGCGGTGGTGGAGAACCCCAGCTGCTGCACCCAGAGCCCCGCTGTGGGGGCTGGACTTCCCAGGCACAGGGGGCCTCGAGCTGGTGCACAGCATCCCATGGAGGACTGAGATTTCCTTCTCCGTCTTTGGCTCCCCAGCACCCAGGGGCGGGCCAGCTGGCAGGACGGAGTGCGTGGTCACCTTGACTGCTGAGTACACCATGGTGTAAGACACGGCCTTGTCCTTGGGGGCGCCGGGGAGCAAGGCAGCCGGGGCAGGAGGGGCTGCTGGCGCCCCTGCCGCCTTGGGGCAGATCATGCTGTGGGAATTGGGGAGCTCCCGCTCCCCCCGGGGCTGGCCAGAGCCCTGGGGCGGCAATGGTGTTGAGTGGCTCCGGGCTCGGCCCGAGGGTCCCAGCAGCAGCAGGTTGGCAGCGGGAGGCGGAGGCGGTAGGGGAGGCGTCTCCCGCTCCCGGGCAGGCACTTGGGGAGCTGGGGTGGAGCCAGCTGGCTCCTTGGAGTGGCAGAGGACTGGTAGCCTCGAGACCCCGTCGCCGGGGGTTCGGGAAGCAGACTTGGCTTGGGGGAAGGCCAGGAGCGGAGGCCGGTGCTGGAGGAGGTTGGGGAAGGGCGGGGGAATTTCACAAGGAGTGGTCTTGGTGGGCGTGCCATCCCTTCGGCTTGGGAGGGCTGAAGCTGGGCGGCGGTGGGTGAGGGGCTGAAGGGCGTGAGGCTGGTGTGGCGTGGAGGCTGCGGTCAGTGCAGGGGCCCCATTGGCCCGGCCTTCCCCGGCCTCCTCGGGCAGCGGGTACTTCATCTCCTCATAGATGGCCTCACTCTCGTCCGAGTCCGAGTCAGCGCCAGCGGGAGGGGTCGGGCCCCCACCCCCCAGAGGGGGCCCCGTCAGGCCTCCTCCACTCCGCCCTCCTCCCTTGAACACATCGCCCACCATCTCGATGTACACGGGCTCTTCTTCCTGGGCGCCCGCCTCAGGATCCCCGGCCACACAGGAGCCCCTGCTGAGGCGCTGAAGGGGCAGGTTCCCCCCTCGAGGGGAGGGGGCTGGGGGACAGGACTCATCGAAGGACACCGACAGCTGGGTGTTGGGGCTTCGCCTGGGCTTCTGTGGAGGGACCTTCCGGCCGGACTCGCGGCCCTCGGGGGTTGGCTTCTGAGAGCCTGGGCAGGACAGGAAAGAGAACGAGACACCAGGCTCTCAGTTGGGGAAGGAAACGGGGGAGACCCACTGTGGTCTCTTGACTCACCTGCAAGGACATTTATGCCTCTTCATTTCCCCCAGCTTTCCTCAACTCACAGCCCCAGAGGGTTCCTTTCCTACCAGTTGGCCTTGGCGCCTTCTAAAGAACTTTCCAGAGTCTGCAGCTCGCACCCTCAACTCTGCCCCCACCCTCAAGGCCCTTAAAGGCCACCCCTTTCCCAAGAATGAACTTTTCAAGCAGCTTTTCCCTGCCCTTGAATGGTTCATCTCAGGCCCTTCCAAAAAAGAACACCCCCCCCCCCATTCCCTGTGAGAATGGAACCTTCCACTTCCTGGGTTCTTCCCCAATGAACCCTCCAGGCAGGCCTCCCGAGGCCGGCAGTGGATCCTCCCGGTTCCCCCTTGCGGGGGGGCGGGGGGGTGTCTCACCTGCTTTCTTGCTGGGGGGCGTCTCTGCCCCCGACCCCGCCATGCTAAGCTTAGTGCTGGGGTGCCTCCGGGGCTTGGCCGGGGGTCTTCGGGTGCCGCCGTCCTCAGTGAGGCCCCCGCCGCCCGCCCCAGGCGCGCCCCCCACGCTGTCCATGCTGCCCACCGAGTGGCACGACAGGGAGCGGGGAGCCATGGCGCTGCGGCAGGGGTGAGGGGTGTGCTCCT